CAGCCAGGCGAGGCCTAGACACCGGGACCACATGAGGTGCGCATATTCATCTACATCTCGCTTGTTTGTAACAGTCGAGGCCGACTTGATCCAATCCGCCATCTCCGTATCGGGTGCTGGGTACGCTCCGGAAACTCATCGGATGGCTTTTCCTCCGTGATCAAGGTTTGGTGATGAGTAGAACTCCGACCCTACCATCTGAACTGATCGTGGTTAGCTTCATGATAATGGTGATAGGGGAATGTGTTGAGAGATGAAGACGATACAGACCGCGAAAGCGATTGGGAATCCTCTTCGAAGTAAGAACTTTGTTACTCAATCTCGGCTCTGCAGACTCTACAGTGAGAGCTGGAGGTTCGTAGGGGACACCGCTGACAGGTGTTGAGAATAGTCCCCCAAGTGGAGCTTGTACTTTAGCTTAAGACTTTCAAAGTTCAACAACTTCGAGAACTTCGAGCAGGGAAATACAAATTCTTAACCTTCCACCGGGACTCTGCCCCCCGTTCGGGCTAAGACTAAAGAAGCGCAGAAGTCAATTCATAGCTCTCGAGGTGGCATCAGCAATGGTGCAACCCCTACCAGATCAAATCGCTCAAGGAGCCCCAACCCCCTCGACCAATACTCCAGCGGTATATGTGTTAAGGTTATGAGTCATATGGGAACATAGTTACTTGTCACTTGTTATATCTGATTGGAGTATGTAGAGGATGTGTTCGGCAGACTTCTATTCTGTCAGAAGCGTGAACATATGCTATCTTATATACATCTATATGACCCATGTCATAGTCTTAGTTCCTTCTCGTGATTGACTATCCATAGTAATCGCACTACCAATCCAACGCTCATAAATCCACGGTTCATGAGCGGCCATCGCTGCTCCTGCTGCTGACGTATATCCTCTACTTGCCAGTCGCATCATTGCCCCTATAATCGCAGCTCAGTACCCTAGTTGAGCGCCCCTGGATCAGCTATTCAGGGGCGACCGTACAGGTTTTATTCGACTTTACTTATCTGAATATTCAGACATATAATGAATATGGTCCGTTTGTCGATTATGATGTGTCTGCGATTGCAGTTGGATGTAAAATAATGTAAAGGTCTTTATCAAGTATCTATAATATATATATTTATTATGGAAATACCCTCCCGTGAAGTCTACTCAAATATGTACATGTAAATGCCTTCTTTTATAGATATTCCCTGTAACGGCTGGTAAGCCGATTGGTTCCTGTAGCGCATGTTGGCCAACATGAGCCTAGCCTGATATGGGTAGCGCACGATTGATCGACATCAATGTGTGGATATATGATGCCACTCAACAGAATATCAAGGCATCGGCATCTAGTTCGGCAGGGCAGCAGTATTGGACCATACAGCTACAACACATGTGAAGAATCCCATTGGAACCGAGAGGGAGGGACTGTGCCTCAACCACATAGACAATGTATATATAAGTATAGATAGAGACTGAAGTAGTTTTCTCTTCAGAATGATAATTTACATACTATCAACCACATAGTTGCACCAGCGCCTGTTCCTTGATCCGTGACATTCCCAAAGTCAAATATAGAGCACCTATATCCCCTGAGATATATGTTCGATACAGAGTTGTGACCTACCTCCCATATTATGCGCAAGTCCGAAACTCCGTTCTACCATGTCCGTCAGTTCTATATTAAGTTTTCCAGCCTTCATTTCTGTGCACATATCCTAGAGTGTAATTTGCCCGTAGATGTATGATCAGCGGCGGAAACATGCAGTCTAATAAACACAGTTTAGACACCATGGGACTAGAGTCTAACTCTAACAGGTTTCCTTTAGGGACACTCGAGATACACCTGTACACTCGATGCTGTTGCATATACGCTGAGTGGTATCCGACCCCTTGGGGCCGCTCCGACCAAACACCCTTCCCACGACAAAGAAGGAGGGAATAGAATATCCCAGGGTACTATTTGAAGAGCCGGCTACCTACGCCCGATTCCTGGAGGTCACAAGATTCTACGTCAAATTATTCCCTCGCTGATGCGGCAGGATCTCTTAACTCCGAATAACTCAGCACATTCTTGTTGTGGTTATGAGCTATGCGGAAGTCATATTGCGGAGTGATGAAGGATGAATGATATTAAATGTAGAAAGTGACAGTGAATAGACTCATACAATATTATGCTGTAGGTATATGGATAGAAATTATAAGACCTCACCTGTATCTGTTTGTTTTGGGTTCGTCTTTGAATCTGTAAACATGCTCGCCTAACCAGTATAATAGTGATGTATGGAGGGCAAGACTGAACACCTGTACGCGGTGTCCTCTACGAACCTGGGAGTGAAATTTTCTCCCAGAGCCAAGTTCAGTCAAATTTCGCAATATCAAAGAAGTTGGCCCACGAGGCAAAAATCCAAATTACTCCTCCACGTCGTTATTTCGCTCCCAACGAGTTTGACTCCTAACTTTGTCTCATCGAGTCTACAAGTACGACCAAGTACATCCTCATTCCAATGACCACACCACTCTTCGACCTTCTCTGGCCTCAGCTGGTCACCAAATACACGCCCACGCCGATATTTATACCCGACGGAGGAAGCAAAGCGTGGCGCACAAAACTGGGAGATAGTTCTTTTGGATGGACGTGAGAGGGATTAGGACAAGTTTACAAGATGACATTAAGGAAGAATATCAACTCGAAGGGCGTCAAATTCCGAATTTTGGTAAGGAGTTTTACGAAATGAGCCTTGTTCACGCCAAGATTTCGCTTGCGAGAGTGCAGCTGACACTATAAATACAAGCCAACGATGGAAGATGCCATGATCCGCCTCCTGGTGGTGTTCTCTGGTATAGTCTGAGTAGCCTGGGCACCTACTCCACTTGGGAAGGACACATCTCAGATCATATTTCGCGCGGAATGAAGTTGAATGATGATGGAGGCATGTCTGGATAACTCAGGGTTTTTGAGACGTTTCCCTGGGTGGGTATTCACGGATGAGGGTTAACTTGGGGTGAAGAAAAAGCCACCATAACTTCGCAGTGGTACTTGCAAATGAAATCCGAGGCATGAGTGCTCTTCCTTCACCTTGAATCATTTACTCTGTACTTTTCTTTGATATTTTGTCATTCCTAGATAGCTGCATACGCAATTAAAATCTAATGCCAAAAAAAAACCCGTAAAAACAATAAGTCCGTGATTGTAAAAGAACGAAATTAGACAAGATACCAACTTGAATGCCTGAACATAACTTGACGTTTCATAAATATTTGTATGGACCCATAAAGCCGAGACCGTAGCCTATACTAAGGTTGGAGTTCTTGTAGTCTGTGGTGTAGTTTATCCCAAACTTCATTTGTTCATCCTATGCACTGGCTTACTGTCATCCCTCATGATATGAAGCACCATTAGGACAATGGTCCCCCAAGGACCAGTGCCCAAGCTTGGTAGTGCATGATGGCCAATCCTTGATGAGGCAGATTCAAGATTTCAATTGGAGTAATGCCATCATGGGTGGTTGACACGAGGTGATGCAGAAAGATTGAACTAGAGGATTCTTGTGAGAATGAAAGGTCTACAATTAGATTTGAACTTGAAAATTACAATTTGACAGAAAGGAAACCCAATCATTTCAGACGTGACACGAGCAAATGTGCCAGAAAAGCTCATTGCCTATAGTTCTGAAATTAACGAGAATTCGTCGATTTTTGATATACTGGAGGTTGCCTTCAACATTTATTGGGATTCAATTGTTCTTAGCTATCCCAGATATGCAGGGCATAGTGAGCAGGTACACTGACACCGATGGCTATGACTAAATCTTCTGCGCTGGCGTTAAGAATAAAGCGGTTATGCAGGAAGATGCCTTGATGCCTGACTCTCATATGACCATCCGCCCTATATCCACGCGACTGATGCGCTTCGTTGCTCTCTATCTCACTTTCCATAATCACATTCATCGAAACGACAACTTTCAAACCAACACTTTACGAAATGTCTCACTATCCGGAAATTTTTGCTCATCTCAAAGAGAAACCAATCGAAGCTACTCTTACAACATTTCGAAACAATTACACAGAGAAGAGTGCTAAAAATGGTAATTTTCACTGAATAAGCAAGGGAACGGAAGCTAACATATTAGGTGTCGCGACACTATTTGGGACATTAGCTGCTCATATACTAGGTATCAGTCCTAACGATGAACTGAGCAAACTGACTGGTAAATTTTTCAAAATCTCCTCGGATATTATGCTCGATGGGCGTCATCTCACAGAACTTCAACCTCTTGTCAACGCTATCTCACAATACCAAGATGAATCTGAAGTATTCAAAATTGCGATTGAACTTGTCGAAAAATTAGCAGATCAACCAAGTGGCAATCAACGTAGTGACCGCAGTGATCGATTAACATTGACACCCGCACCCGGTCCATTTACATTCACCCGAGGTGCTTCAGAGGCAAAAGATTTTAACAAAAATGTCACTTCTATGACCGCAGCATTAAGGAATGAACTTTATAAAAATGTAATTGTGGATCTGGACAATTTCTGGACGGAGCTTTTCCTGGGTAAAGATTGGTCCAATCAAACATGGAATATTTGGAAAAGCTATGAAGCATACGAACAAAATGAAATTAAGAACCAGGAAAAAGCTGAGACGGGGACACAAAGAGAAACCATGAACGACAAGCAGAAGGTAACCCAGGTACAAGAAGTAAGAAAAGAAGGAAGGCTACAGGATACTCGTAAAGTTAGTCGAAGTTATAAAAATAAGTTGGCCGGAAATTTAGAGACTGTGATGGAGGAAGAAACACCAAAAACTTTCAGAAAAACCCGAAGTCAGACTAAAAAAGATGACGAAGAATCGGCAATCTTGGCAAGAAACGAATCGCTCGAAGGTTCGCAAAATATCATGAATACAAATAACAATGATATCCAGAACAAAACTAATTCGGTAGAGGCCAAATCTGGGGGAATCCAGAAAATAATCTATAAAAACAAGATTTTGACTGGAGACATGACTGAAGATGAAATGTGGGACTGGCTAAATTTTTATCGTGAGAATTTTTTGAATCAGCTCACAGATAAATTCCACAGACCATCGGAAAAGTTTCCAAAAATCATCAAAGAAGAAGAAGGCTCCCAGTTCCGCTGCAGTTATTTTCGCTCGTCAGATAAATGCCCGATGAGGGGTACTAACAACGATTACCAGGCCGACTTCCTCACAAAGAGAATCGGGTCTTCCAATGCTCATAGTAAGGTTCATCAATGGAGTGATGTGAGAGTACTGGGTGAGTTTACGAAAAAGAAATCTTCAGGTCAAAGGAACGAAAAGTTTTATCAGCTATCTAGACTTGCTCTCCAAGTGTTTTACACACAGCCACTTCGTCATTTCGTACATGGATTTACCGCGTTCAAATCAAATTTTGAACTGTGGGTGTTTAATCGCTCGGGCGCATATAGCTCGGGCTTATTCAACATCGAAGACGATAAAGAAAAGCTAGTGAGAGCGATCTGTTCATACCTTTTGATGAGTGATCAAGAACTAGGTATTGACTCATCTATTGAAAAAGTTAATGGACGCTCTTCTGTATCAATTTATGATGAGAAACAGAAGGAGACTAGGAAGTTTGACATTAATCCGAATCCTTTTTTCATGGTGGGTACCATAGTCACTCGTGGAACTACCTGTTTCGAAACTTCGGACAAAAACAGTGTTGTTAAATACTCGTGGGTCAGGACTCCAGGTAAATCAGAAATCGACTTTTTGCAACATGCCCATGGAATAGATGGCGTAGTCGAGTATGTCACGGCAGACATAATCTGTACCATAGGTGATCATCTGAAGGACCTCAACTTCAGCAATGCGAAATATTTGAAGATGATGGACTGCAATCCTCTTATCTGCATGGCTGAAGGTGTAGAGGTACCTCGGACTCCCCAGTTGAGAGATCGAGAACTTCGCAGAATAGTTATCTCACCTCGTGGACATAGTCTTCGTTCCAGTAAAACGATTATGGAGTTTCTTGTTGGCATACGAGACGCAATTGTGGCACACCGCCGCCTGTATGTCGAAAAGAAAATACTTCATGGTGACATCTCTGACGGTAACATCATTCTAGCAACTGTAGGTGGTAAAACTCAAGGGATGTTGATCGATTTGGATCACGCCGAAATGGTCGACCCACCACCAGGCAAAGATGACAACTTGTTCTTGACAGGCACCATAAAATTCATGGCGCTTGAGAGGCTACATCGTGCTTCAAATTGTGGGGAAACCATAGCTCGCACGTTTCATCACGATCTAGAGTCGTTCTTTTATGTGTTCATTGTAGGATGCATAACATATGAACGCGAAAAGAAGTCCGAGAAGGTGATCGAACTGCAGTTGTGGCACACTGACGACATCAAGGGTAATTATCGGACAAAGAAATACAGTATTTGGGACTTTCAACCAAGAATTCTCGATAACTTCTCCACCAGCTTCATAGGCTTGAAGGATTTAGCATATGAACTCCGAGAAATACTTTTTGGGGAAAGTGGCAAAGAGTACGGTACCCCTGATAAGCATGAACCGGAATATGAGAAGATTATTAAGGCATTCAGCAATACCATTGAAGATCTAAGAGGTAAGATCAATCAATTACTACACAATTACTACACAATTACTGTTCCCTTAAATGAGAGTCTAGCTAACATCTTCAATTATTTAGATGGGACAATCGAGAATAAATTGTTGGCTAGAGGAACATCATGAAGTGTTTTACAGGACTTTCCTGACAGATAAGGATGTCAGGACTCCCCAGGCTGTCGTAAATTGGACAATCTTGTACTCGGGTGGATTCTTGAATTGATCTTTTGTTTAATTAAAATATAGGTTATTAGATATACACTAAAATAAACGAGTTACACTTTTGTTATCTTCCGGTTCACATTTGCTTGGAAGTGCAATGTGTATTGGCAGAAAATTAGGAGAGAGGCTATATTTTTTTTAAACTGAGCTTTGCTTGCCGTTCTAGAATTTATTTAACCCGAAAGATTTTGGATTAACCTCTTATGTGTTTCAAATAACATCATTCGCAATCAAGTAATTAAAAATTTACTCCTTCAACTATCTTCACAAGCCACTATCATACTGTAGGCTACCACATTGATTAGAGACTCAATGTGTAGGGCATGGACGAACTGAACAATTCATTCCATAAACTTTTAAGTCAAACTACATCAAACTCAAGGAATCAGACATGCAGCGGCACTGAAAACCTTTTGATTGTCTCATTCATTGAAGAAACTTGGTTAGGCTAATTTGGATAGCCAGGATAGAGCTTAACGAAAAAAAAGGTTCGTCAAATTGTGAGATAAAACAGTTGCTCCTTTCATTCAAATATACTTGACATGCCTTTCAACGAAGGAAAGAAGGTAGTACGGGTAATGGGTGGTACACCATTATCGTTGATCCCACTATCTTACTAGCAATGTTAGCGGCATTAACAGGTTGGCGCACCACCGCAAATATGGCCCTCCACGGCAAGGCAGGTATCTCACCAGCGGAGATGTTACTTGAACAGAAACCTTAGCGAACCGCTGTATGTGTACGGTGACCAAATAAATGGCCCCTTGTCCGTAGGGCAAACACTTGTAGTAGTAGTAGTGATTTTCGATCTGAGTTGCTTGACAGCGTCAAACATTCAACAAGTAGCCTCCCTAAGAGTATGAGATAGTGTCAAGCTAGAATGTAGTAGTACAGCATGAATTAAAGAGATAAATTGCCCCAGACCGTAAAATGTTCTTGTGTGAATTTTTTTTATTTTTATTTATCTTTATTTAACGTCTGGCGGATCATGCGTCGAGCGAGTAACCCTATTAAGTCCCTACTGAGACAATAGACGCTTCTTGTGTGAATATTGGCATTGGTAGAGTAGCTATGGGGAAAATTACAGAAATTAGTCACGTGGTATTAGTGCGGCGTTGGGGTTTACGTCGTTCATTACTCAAGATACTCAAAACGCTCCTTAACGATACCAAAAACTGGGAATTAACGCCAATACTGGGAGCTCCCCCGAACTCAAGAGCCTTAACCGCTAAGATCTTGGTCGCCTTCTTGCAGCTCGCTCAGGCCATGGAGACTTCGGTGACTACCACCGCCGCTTTCAGCACTCGGACGCTCTTCCGATCTGCACTTGCGGGCTAGAAATGTCTCCCGAGCACTTCTTCTTTTGTCGACTCAATCGGAGTCGGTCCCGCCTTTGCAGCGGAAGTAAACACCCAACGACGGGAATTCGCTGGATTCTAGGCTCACCTGTATTGAAAGGCTATGCTGAGCTGGAATGACGTACCGTTAGGATGAAGGTATGGTAGGAGGTAGCTATGGCTTTAAGAGAAGTAAAGTTCGTGAGTTATACTCTTAGGACTTGGATCAATGGACGAACTTGAGGATATTCCCCAGTATTCTCAAGTGCGTGAATAATATAGAGATTGTTTTAATTTCCTATTGTATGAATTGCTTAATTTATCTACGTGACAGGACCTTCTTCTATATACATGAATAAGGGGGTTCTACACACTATTGGATGTTCCAACATATTTCCTTGTCTAAGCGAGAAAGGAAGGATGTGAGAGATCCTAGCGTTAATAGATACCATTAGGAATCTATTGGGAAATACTATGTCATACCAATGAATGATGATTTAGGTCAATCATATCCCATGGCGCATTTGCACATTATTCTAATGTGAACAGTTTATTGTAATGCAGTCATGTTACTCCCTTAATTACAACAACCTGAAGGAGCCATAGCTTTTAGTAAATTGCTCCATGAAACAGGCTTTTTTGAAGCATGCAACAACAAGACTAACCAGCACCCCAAATTATATGCACTTGGCCTGTATTTGCTAGAGCTAAATTTAGAAGACTTCTGGTCTAGGTGATGGATAACTTTATTTTTCATATATATAACTATCTTCTTTACTGTATTAGAATACAAATGTCTCAGCTCGTGAGTACTTTTGACTTCTTTCTATAGTTCGGGGTGCATGGCAGGTAGGCCTTGGCCCATTTATAACACGTCGGGCTTATTTAAAAGTATCAGCACGTCGGGTAGTTTATGTAGACTTAGCTGGCCATCACGAGACCTCAAGGTTGTTTTGTCTATTTTGTCCTAAGCTAAAGCTATGTTTTCCAAGAACGCATTCGAATCCGAACGCTACCGACGAACCCATACCATTTACGATAGATACACAACTGGAAACTGACCGTCAAGTCGGCGACAATGCCTGCTTTAAGGCGGAGGAAAAAGCTCAACCCCAGCTCAGTAGGGGCTGCCTCATCCACGCGCATTACAAAGCGTAATAAACAATCATCCCCAACAGTCATCGCGGAACCTCGGATGCCTGTTGAACTAAATCAAGTTCCCCCCGCCCCTTTAGACATGCACATAGATTCTGAGGATGAATTCATGGACCTCGAGGCAGAAGATGACGCGCTGCAGATTTTGTCTCAGCCGCCGTCAAACAGCCATATTCCGTCCGTCCCTTTACAGCGGACTACGCTCAAAGTTCCGAAGATCTTGTCAACTCAGGATCAAGGCCTTGCTTCATCCATTTTTGCGGTAGCAACCCACCCCCCTTCGCGCGGCCAGGCGCCTGCCCCAGCCGCGGCTGTACAACGCTCTGTGGCCAACCCATCATCGGCCACCAGTAACGAACTAGCCACTACCCTTCTAGGCTGGCAACATGCCGGGGCTATCCATCTCCGCTCCCTCCCACCTGCAATAGCAGCAGATCTCAAGGCAATCGTCACTCGTAGTGCTGCTAGGGTCATCGCTGGCCTATCTGTATTCGATCAGACAACTACAGGTAAAAATCCTCAAACAACCAATCGAAGCGCCGGGCCGGCATCTCATCAGAACCGTCCCGATACCTCTCAGAAGCAGACGTACGCGACGGCAGCTTCCCGAAACCCCATTCTAGCGGCTCAGACTACCCTAACAAAGAAGACTGTTACTGCACCACCACCGAAGCAGGCCAAGTCTCTCTACAAAGCTCCTAAGGTCGACTCAAGAGTTATCGTACGCCTACCGGCCGATCACCCGCTCCGAGGACAGGATACATTTCTCATCCGCACAAGACTCCGGAGACTAACTGACCGGCCAGAGCTCATCAAAGATGTGCGCATAGTTCCCTCTGGAATCGCCATAGTAGCGCCCACCGTCGCCCAAGCCCCCGAACTACTTCAAGTAGCCTCGGCATTTCAGACGATTACGGGAGACGCTCCAATAGAGCGCCAGGAAAATCGCAATACATTTATCCTAGGACCAGTCCCTAAGTTTGGCTACAACCATTTGGGGGAACGTGAAGCCCTCACCATGACTGAAATTCGGCAGGAACTAGCCACTACGAAGATTGACCCCGAAGCAATCTTCTCCATGTCGTGGACTCGCCGCTCTGAACTCTCTCCGGACCACGAAGGGACTATACGCCTAGTGATAGCTTCCGAGTCCGCTAAAAAGTACCCAACAAACCTGCGACTATTTGCTCGAGCGGTGAAGCTCCGACAAGTAGACCACCAGCCCCCACTCCAGGTGTGTTCTCGTTACCACGCGTTCCACAATGTCAATAGATGCACTCGCCGCCCTCGGTGTGGGACATGCGCCGCGGATTTCCACGTCGGGCCCTGCACCAGACCAGAAAAATGCCTCAACTGTGACGGACCTCATCCATCATTTTCTTTAGGCTGCCCCGCGCGACCCATCCTCGCCAACGGAAGCTTCGTCCGCCCTGATAAAACTAGACTCCGAGCTATCCGAAGCGAGGGCCTAAAGGCCTGGACCGCACTACACCCTCCAATCTCTCCCCAGGCCGCTACGAGCTCCGGGAACTATCAGGTTCCTACCCAACCCACAAGCATCGCCTCCCCCTCTCCTCCACAAATTGGACAAGAGTCACGATACTCCGCCCTGATGACCATAGAGGAATCATTATGATGACTCGGGGCCGGACGCACAAATCCCAATCAATCAATGGTTTCTGCATATTCCAGGTAAATGTGGGTAAGCGGAGCCCGGCACACGACTCCGCCCTCGAACTTGCCTCTAAAAGCGGAGCAGATCTAGTACTAATTCAAGAACCCTGGATAAGTACTGATCTCTCGCGCAAATTAACTAAAAATCACCCAAAATACATTTCTTTCTCTCCCCTTCCAATCTGGACCAGCCGGCCTCGCGTAATGACCTACACTCGCAAGGGGTGCGGCCTTTCACCTTTCCGACCCAGTATTCACTCACGCGACCTTCTCCGGATTTGCGTCTCTCGACGCGGAAAGCGTACCATTGACTGCTGGAATATATACAATGCTCCAGTAGGCGCGGTTGGCGCTGGGGATGGCCTTCAGCTTCTTCTCAACCTTTCTGATATCCCAGACGATTTAGCTGGTGACTTCAATATCCACCACTCGGCCTGGGACCCAGCAGCATATAAAGAAAATTCGGAAGGCGACTCATTACTCGAATAGACAACTGCAAGGGGAATAACGTTGTTGAATGTATACTATGCCCCCACTCATGATGCCGGCGCTACTATCGATCTTTGCTTCGCACGACATTGTCTCAACGCATCTTGTGCTATCCGAAACGACTTGGAAGTCGGGTCAGACCACAGAACTCTACTAACTCAACTTTCAGACACAGGACCTGAAAGAGATACCTCTGGAAAACTCAGATACTCTGCTTGCAACTGGGTCACCTTCCGTAATATTATCTCC